GTGTAAATAAGGCAGCAAATCACGGTTATATAGACAAATATAGAGAACTTCTCGCAGTCTGTATGATATTCCATCATTGTTCCTAATGGTCCTGCTCTTTGGAGGACATGTCACATAAAAGGTAATTACGTTTACGACACCGAACTACTCTATCAGTAGCTAAATATCTAATCAATTTTCCACAGTAGCTAGCTATATATATATATATATATAGGTTGGTCAAGTATCGTTACACAGACAAACAGAGGCGTTTGATTAAAATCTCCTTTCCCATATTTTTCAGAATAAATATTATGATGGAAACGAAACTTTATTTAAGAAATTTGAAAAACCAACTGTGAGGACAAAAGAAAACAGCTACACAATAATACTGAAATTTCTATGTTGCAGATATATCAAGTTGCTTATCTCATAAATATTGAATGAAATAAATTCACAAGTACAAATAAGTTCATTTAAAAAACCGAATAAAACAGATGCAACGAAATCTGTAAATAAGGGCATAATTTGATAAGTTTCAAAAGCTAAAATTTACAGTTTTTTTTTCTAAGAGAAGCTAGTTTTCACTTTTTTTGCTGGAACCAAAACTAGTTTCAAAGTGTTGTGAAAGACGGAAATTGAGTTGCTGACGTTTTAGGCACTGTATTCGACACGTTGATATTATGTTTTTTCGGACTTCTCTCGTCACATTTATTTTGTTTTCAGACGTGTGTCATGTTGACTCTTGCCTCAAATATGAAGAAAGACTCAGCATTGAGTCTGAAACATCGCCTAAAAAACCAAAAGAAGAGACCAGAGAAAATTAGATAAAACACTAAGAAAGGGGGAAAAATAAATTAGGTCAATGGCCCTTGTTTGGACTGGAGACTTCAAAAAGCAAACAGTTATCTCATTTATAATCGGAACCTGGAGAGACAGTCGTTTTTGAGATCTGGGTTATTTTTTTTTCTCTCGTCTTAGCACGGTGAACAAGCACTGTGACGTAGTTTGTTGTGTAACGAAAGATGATTTCGTGACTCACACATTCTTGGCACAAAGAAGACCGCTTTCTGATTTCATCACAGAACTGAAAGACAGCTTTTGTTGAAAGAAATTACAGTACTTTGAGAAAGTTGTGTTTTTCCGTTTTTTAGGATACTTTGATAAGCCAGATGTTAAAACTTAACATAATAAAATATTATTTTAATAAAATAATTTTCAGTGAAGCAGATGTTTTTGTGGCCTTTCCCCATTTATGTACAAAAGTTCCTAAGTAAAACGGCTTTGCATTACAGTTATTTTCTAGTGACTATCTTAAGCAAGCGAATGTACGCGCGTGGCTTTGTTTTTCGAACCTACAGATAAACGTTTACTTGGCACAAATGTAATTGGTAAGTAAGAATTAAATTTAGCATTGTTTACGAATATAAGTAGGTCCAATAATAACCATATTCTGTTTAATGTTGTAATTTGTTATGGTGGCCCATGTAGCCTACATAGTGGATACTGGTACTTTATTCAAATGTTAGTTCAAGTCCCGATGCCACGGGCGACATATGTAGCATTTATATGTTAGCTCCACAATGAATTCCCGACCATTCGACGCTGTAATGTCTCCACCGATAAACTTATAATATAAGAATGTAAAAGATTATTTTGGAAGAGACGCATTCATACATTGAGATGGCTAATGGAGCAAAAGAACACAACATTTCAAAGAAAAACCTTCAATGTTTTCCGTGGAAGCGAAATTACTCGCACAGCAGAGGATTTAGAGCAGCAACGGGCTCCGAAACTACACACTCACCCAATCCAGATCAATGATACTCTCTCATCCGTAAAATGAAGGCGATTTCTACGAAAAAGAACCTACCGATCCCAACAACAACACACATTGCGATGAAATTCGATATATCTCTTAATATCATTAACATTATAATGAACTAATGGTTTGTAATTACGAAGGCTAACAAATCTGAAGCTCACAGAGTTTCCAACCGTGTCTTGAAATCAATGGAACATGGGCGAAGAAAGTGAAATTAGAGCAATCTCATTAGATCTTGTACCTTTCCTGTCTTCCGATGCTGCTCTAATGAACTCTTGTACCTTTGGTATACTTAAAAGTGGTTTTGGAAGGATAGTTTATCAACATATGTAGTCTTTCATTGACCTCACCTTCCTTCGCAGAGGTCCGGCATGGTTAGGGCGCTCGACTCGCAATCTGAGGGTTGCGGGTTCGAATCCCCGTCACACCAAACATGCTCGCCCTTTCAGCCATGGGAGCATTATAATGTGACGGTCAATCCCTGTATGCGTTGGTAAAAAGAGTAGCTCAAGAGTTGGCGGTGGATGGTGATGACTAGCCGCCTTCCCTCTAGTCTTACACTGCTAAATTAGGGACGGCTAGCGCAGATAGCCCTTGTGTAGCGCGAAATTCATAGCAAACAAACATACAATCATTCACAGAAGCTTCTTACAATGGAAATTACAGTGTCGTGCAATAATAGTTAGTTTTTGTTTCTTTGTTGAATTTTACGCAAAGCTACTCGAAGGCTATCTGCGCTAGACTTTTCATGATTTTGAAGTATTAAACTAGAATGAAGGTATCTAGTCAACACCATCTACTGCCAACTCTTAGGCTACTCTTGTCAAACCGAGTAGAGTGAGTTGACTACCACTCTTATAACGCACACACGATTACAATGTGCATATCGTAAATATTTCCCCCTTATATTGCCGGTAACGAGACACGAACTACAGAACCTCAGACCGGCACACTAACCACTGGACCACTCTCGCCCTGGATCCTTCGGGCTGATGATGAAGGAATCAGGTCCAAAGGCAGAAAAAAATGTGGAAAACTGTTCTTATAAAATACATTTCACCTCATTGAAACCGCAAATAATCTAATCTCAAGTTTACTTAACATTTCCGCTGTTCATCTTAAGTTAATTCTACCAAGATTCGATCTTTTGAAATTCAGTTGTTTGTTAATTAAATTTAAAATGAAGCAATAAACTCTTCTGATTATTATAAGAACTACCAAGAAAAGTATTTCGCTAATATATCAGTGAAGTTTATTAAGGTTATGAAATAACAAACTATAAAATATTGGTTTGAAAACGTGTTTAATATTATTTACTTTTAGGTTTAGCTATTATTTCAATTCTGTCTCATTGAGTGGTAGTCAGTTGATGCTAAGAACGTTGAAAGCCGCTTGTTGAGAAATGGACTGTTTTTCATTTGTTTTTATAAAGCGTATGAAGTGTAGTGCTCTAAGGATGATGATTAAAACAATAGAAATGGAATTATATCAAATTACACTTCTTTTGGCGTAAGTACGAATAGATGGCGCTAAGTTCGCGCGGGAATGATTATTACTATAATTATGAGCTCAAATATTAATTACTAATGAAATCTAACAAAAATCGTATATGCAGTCTGCAGTTACGGTGGCACTTTTGGCTATTTACGCCGTTTTTCAAGAAGGTTGACAAACGTACAAGTCTCAAATATATACACATTTCCTTCGATAAAAGTAATGGTGATTAAAAACCCTGGATATGAAAATATTATTCTTCGAGGCAAATTTCTTAGGAAAAGTTAGCTGTGCAGTTTTCAAGGATGAGATATGCATTGAAACGTATAAACTTAAAAATACATTAAGATGCTTTCAGATATTTATTTTTTATGACTCATAACATAAAGAAATTAATATGTAGAATTATACACGGACTTTTCTCTACGTTAAAATACAGTGTTCCACAGATAAACGAATTTGTTTTTCTCAGTTCATTGTTGCCCGATGAAGGCTCCGTTACGAGGACAGAAAGCTTGCAAATAAAAGAAAAGTGTTTTAACGTAGAGAAATGTCCGAGTATGATTCTACTTATGCCTTCAGGTATGTTAATCCTGTACTACTAATTTTTGGGTGTAATAAATTGTATCAACAGCAACAGCGCATTTTAATAACAAAAGAGCTTTCGAAAATAATCAACAGATAAGTAAGTATTGATATGAAATATTCTAAATTTAATTTACATATATATATTCTTTAAATTAAACAAACGAATTTTCTGTTATTTCTTAGGAATATCTGATGACACATAACGGTAATTCTATCAACTTATACCAAAAATAACTAGTTGTTAAAGCTTATAAATATCCCAAAGAATAAACTTTAAGCTCCAGTATTAGTCTACACCAAGTTATAAAAAGTTTTAACTAGCATAACTTATAAATAGATACGTTTTACTATTTCAGGAAAACCAGAAAATCTGTTTTTTTTTATCGAAGATAAGGTTTATTTGCACAGCGTGTATTTTTTCGTGATCTACTGATGTATAAATGTTACTCTGTTGAAACAATTAACCTCAACTTTGAAGAGTCAGTGGTGTTTGTTTTAATCGAAACAAGAAAGATGTCGTAACTAAACTTGGTATTGCTAATACTTATCATCTACTCTTTCATTGCTTGATTTACCTCACGTATTAAATTATATAATTTTGAAAAATGGCGTCCCTAACTTTATTAAACAGAGGCACAAATATCATTACAATTTCGCGAACAAGGATATTATTTTTACTCGAACTAAAACATGTCCCCGTCTTTTCACGAGTTGTGGATGGGTGTTTTATTCTATTTCATTCCTTGACTCACCTCATGTATTCAATTATATAATTTTTAAACTCTATCAAGAAAATCCATATTTTCTTCACCAGAGCATATAAGTAAAGTTTGTAACTGCATCATAGTCCTGAGTTCAATGTGAATATTTCTAAAATATAGTTTTATGCTTAAGATGTGCAATAATTAACTATAATTTAAATTACTTTAATGAGTTTTTCAATAAATACTCGAGCTAAAATACAAAGAGAACATTTGATTTTGTCCAAAAAATCTACATATATACATATCTGCAAAATAAGAAAAAGGCATTTTACAACAACATATGATAAATTTAACTTATCTTAAGTAAATTGATATTTAAGAGTATATAATTAAAATATATATACATATACCTGTATCTCTCGTCGTCGGACATTTTTAATAAGTTTTAAAAAGTCCTGAAAAGAGAAGGATAAGATATATTTAGTATGGTATTGAGAGTCGGGAAGAGTAATTTACAACAAAATAGTTTTTGACTTAATGATTATTTTACAACCATTTAAAAATCACTCTTTCTCGTATTCGGACGTATAAGAAAATACATAATAATTATATATCATGGACACAGCTATGAAAACTTTATATAAATTGAATAAAATATATATCTTTATTTCACATATCTGTGGTCTGAATATAAGAATCTGATATTTTTACATTTAATACAAAGCTAATTAAACTGTATGTATTAAATGTAAGATTTGTTGAATTTCGACTTAGCACTAGCAACATTTGAATATGGATTATAGCTAAATATTTTATCTTCCGTGGATAGAATATTAATAATTAAGAATCCCTCTGTGGGAGAAAAAGAAGTAGAGATTGGGTTAGAGATGGGCGCACTTTAGAATATTTTTGGGATTATTCATGCCTATTGTGACAGTTTACGACATAACGTTGAATATATATATATATGTGTGTGTCTAGCTGATCTGGTATTTGCTTTCTACTCCCACACCGTAACTTCTAGCACAACCTCTTATGCTCTAAAACTCCAAAGATTCGAGGATCGTTGCTGAAATTCCAGACTTGGCGTGCCTGTCATCTCAAATAATAAAGAGCAGTTCATTAAGCATGGAACTATAATTTGTTTTGTAAAACATTTGGAATGTTTCATCTATACGTTGTTCAATTACTAGGTAAATATAGAGTGAAAATAAAAGTGTTAAACTGTAGAATACTGAAAGTCATCGTGGTTTGTGGGAGGACTGTTAAACTATAGAATATCATATTATTTTGTAGATGATTTAGGCAGAGTATCCACGATGTACAAAGAAAGATGAAATGGACAACATTTTCCTAGTTCAGAGTGACATTTGTAGAGAAAAATCTTAGAAGACTAATCTGTACAAATGTCTCAGATCGAAAGGACGACGTTTCGAAAGACTTCCATCTTCAGTTTCCAAGACTTTATCTAAAAGTTCCTCTCTGAACTAAACAGTTGCTACCCATTTTTACCTTTATTTGTTCATACAGAATACCGTAACTTAAGTATCTTCTTGAAAAACCCATAAAACTATTACAAATAAAATGGTGGATTATCCTTCTCTTACCTTCTTCTTTTTTCCTCTCACTTTCTCCCATTTTTTATTTTTACACTGCCCTTCTTTTTAATTGTTCTAGCCCTCCCCTCCCTCTCCTTGTCTCATTCTCCTTATTCTCTTTCTCTCCTTTTCTCCCTTCCTGTTTACACTTATGAAATATTGGTTACTGAGTCCATGTTGTGAAAAGCGTTCTTGGAAGTTGTTCTTTTTTAGTGTCATGTCATCTAACAAAACTAGACTAATTAGATAATAACAAACTACGAACAAAGTTCCAAGATCCGTAATCATGTTGAATGTTGATCTGTTAAGTACAAGAGAAACTACTAAGCTAAGCATTAGACAGGAGTAAAATTATAAAATAAAACCACACACTTCTTACAAGCAGGAATTACAGTGTCTCTCTCTCTCTCTTCCGCCCACAGAAGACATTCAATTATAAAAACTACAGATTTTATACAATAGATATACACTTAAGATCATGTAAAAGGGAAAAATAAACAGTGTATGTCTCTTTACCACAGTGTTTTTACTCCAATTATGATTGAGCAGTTTGTCCTAGTTTTGGTGATTTAATTCAACCTGTTTATATTTTTTTCATCAGTAATGCGGGGTTCAAGAAGAAAGAAAAAGAAAGGAACTGTCAATACTTTGGAATAGAAAGACAAAAAGCAGAATGAAAAGTAGTATCGCTAAAGTTAAAGAAGATTTCTTACCACTAAGAGTAAACTGGTAATATATAAATAATAAGTTCCTATAGCTAAACTAACAAGTAATACATATTGCTTCACAGATTATTAATGAGCATACGCTTTGTCTACGGAGTTTTTCCTGCTTTATATATAACTATTTAAAAATCAAATAACGGTGCATTGATATCTTTCTAATCTATAATAGTAATATAGCTGATAAACTAAAACGGATCCAGAAAAGTACATATACACTTATATGTAACAATACTAATCTAGCTGACAAATCAAGCCCAAAAAATACATATACACTTATGTGTAACAATACTAATCTAGCTGACAAATCAAGCCCAAACAATACACATACACTATGTGTAACAATACTAACCTAGCTGACAAATCAAGCCCAAAAAATACATATACACTTATATGTAACAATACTAAGTTAACTGAGGAAGAGGATACAAAATGTAAAGACATTTATATATATGATAATACAAACCGAGCTTACGATAAGCAGAATCCAGCAAGTACAGTTAGATATTATATTATGTGTGTGCGATTCGAAAACTACTAATTATGTATGGACATGTATCACAGATGTTTTATTTGAAAAGTACGGTAAGTTGTGGATTTCATGCAAAGGGATTTTATATTTTATTAAAATCTTTTATTTCTGGAAGTACTTCTTAAACTTATGTTATATCCTATTCTATCTTGTTTAATAGTAGTATATTGCGTTGCATACAATGTTGAAACTATTCCTAAACACAAGATAATTTGGCTTAATAAAAGTGTGTTAACAATTACAAACTCACAAAGTGATGCACTCTAAACATCCAGGTTAAGTAGTTAGCACACAAGATCGCCTACAAAAGTTGTAATATTTTCAAAACGAGACCCAAAACTCGAGCGCTTTCGAATAGTTAACTATTCTTCTTCAAGAGAATAAATGTGTTATGATATTAATTACTTAATATCGAGTCAGGATTAGATTTCTCTAAGTGAAAACCATACATATAGTTATTAAACTGTTTGAAATGACGGATTAAGCGAGTATCCCACAAAGAGGTAAGAAAACTGGAGTCAGTCGTCTATCTAATACTCATTAATGTTATTCACTGACTCTGGGAGTGCTAGTGTTCTGTTACAACACAAACTTTGAGGTAATTTTACAAAACTATAGAATGAAAAACAGACCTTAAATTTGGAGTTGATAAACGGCAGGTCGACTACGTTTAGTCCTGTAGGGTGGTCAAGTCTACTACCCCAAGATCAGCGCTGCCTGCTTCACGTCTAGCTTCAGAGACACGCAATTAAGCCTGGCCCAGCACCTACAATCACAACGCTTGGAATGACCAGATTTTTCGTTCGGGTCTGACTCTAATGGTGATTCACCACGCCCGCGGGGTCCTGCGTCTTTCTCGAGTTTAAATTTAGATTAAGCTGTAAAGGCTCTGAGTACAAATCTCGGGGTGAAATTTAAACAGTGACCACGTGCAGAATTGCTCCACGCCTCTTACGCTAGAAACAGTCATCTGTGCGTCCTTACTTTCAGCCAATACGACGTATTTGAACGGTTTCACTTTCACTCATCTTGCTAGACAGAAAGAAAGTTACTAAAATATAGAATCGGAAAAGCAACTCAACAGTGCCTCCTATGAAAGCCCACAGTCCTTCCCAGAGGTATCCTGCCCTGTCTCTCAAGCACAGCACGCGGGATGCCCATTTTGGGCATTCATGAAACTTGAGAATACATGTGCCAGCCCACATAACTACTAAATTTTTTTGTCAAACTTCAAACGTCAAAACGTAGAATCCCTACTTTTAGATGTTGCCAAGCTCTAGTGAAAATCGTTTAGCAAAAGAAATATATCTTATCTAGAAACAACAACTTATAACAAACAGATGTCATACTCATCTTATCCACTGACACAATATTAACTTTGTAATTATATATTTTTTACACATCCTACATCAACTTATTAAATTAAAAATATTCTCTCTAATGTTATGATGCCATGTTAGTAAAATTGTGAAAATAGATTATAGAATATGTACATGGAACCTTATATGAGAAAGCCCGTGACCAAAGTTACAACTTGAAAGCATTTCATGTAAACAATTACTGACATCCCAAATATTAATAATACTGAATTAATAAAATAAAAGAAAGGCCAGAAATAAAGTGCCATATTTGTAATTATAAATTCAGTTTCTCAGAAAATAAATAAAAACAAAACAATTATGACATAAAACAACCTTCCCAAATGACAACATTTTTGAAACTCTGTAATAACTATAAATTATAATATTTTGAATGGCTAAGGTCTTAGAAACTAATTTTGTATGAGAACACTGATAGCAAAACTGTAAAACATTTGTAAACTTTCTCTCGCTTTCAAGCGCGTACTAATCGAAACAAGACAGGAACATTTTTCAAGATAAAAACTAAATGTGTCACACAGGAAAGTGAACTATATCAAAGAAAAGAGATGAACTGTCTTATAAAGGGTCATTTTAAACATTTTAGCAGATTCCAATGAAAGACTAAATGTGTCACACAGGAAAGTGAACTATATCAAGGAAAAGAGATGAAATGTCTTAAATAGGGTTATTTTTCAACATTTTAGAAAATTCCAATGAAAGACTAAATGAGTCACACAGGAAAGTGAACTATATCAAATAAGTAACATGAACTGTCTTATAAAGGGTCATTTTTCAACATTTTAGAAGATTCCAATGAAAGACTAAATGTGTCACACAGGAAAGTGAACGATAGCAAGGAAAAGAGAGGAACTGTCTTATAAAGGGTCATTTTTCAACATTTTAGAAGATTCCAATGAAAGACTAAATGTGTCACACAGGAAAGTAAACTATATCAAAGAGATGAGATGAACTGTCTTATAAAGGGTCATTTTTCAACATTTTAGAAGATTCCAATGAAATTATTTTTCCTTCTAATCTTTATATTTGAATATTTTGGTGAAAAAGATTTTAGTAACATCATAAAAACTGTTTCGCTGGTAAAAAAGTTGATATGTATTTTGTTTGAAGCCATTGGTCATTATAGATATATTATCGTTTTAACATATATATATATACGTGTGTGTGTTTGTGTGTATTTGTGTATGTACATATGTTATTTCATGACTAATTGTGATAGATAAAATGTTTACCAAATTTCCAACAAAAACGCAACGTTAACCTACTTGTTTGAAGAAACGTCTTTTCACGATATAAACAAGTTCAGTCTTATGTGAACAGAAATCTTAAATAGTATGTGTTTAGTAGTCGAGTTCAAAATATTCTCTAAAGGTAACAATAATAATCATTCTCTGTAATAAACACTTGATACTTTTCCATAATAATACCTTTTATAAAACCTTTTTCACTCATGACTGGCCCACTGTTGTTTTCTTACAACAAAATGAATAATAGCATTTCAATAATACATGTTGTATAACAATACATATTGTTTGCTGTGCTTCAGAATAATGACGCTTTTTGTTCAATAGAGATGACGATTTTTTCAGCAAGGGAACATCTTCTTAGGAGAATAGTCTCGTTGGCAGTGACCTACACAGATATTGTAAAAAGATTGTATGTAACTCTATTGAGCTTTTCAAGCGTGAAGTGTTTAGAAAAATATTTCCAGACTTCTTGTAGTGTTTCATGCTAGTTTTGATTTAACTCCATAAAACTTGATATTTTAAATATAGTTATCCATTTTCATAGACATCACATGCTAAATCCATGTTGATATGGGGTTTTCCATAACCGGTTTTACAATGAAAAACCGATACGTTTTCCGTAAGAAAATTCGGATTTAAAAAAAATAATAGCTAAAATAAATATTAGTAGCACGAACTATTTTAATATTATTAAAATTCGTTTTCTTTGACTGTAAATAAAAACTTGATTAAAAAATAAAATTTTCGTGGATAACTTTTCTAAATCTTGGAAATTAAAAACAAAAGCTATAACAAAGGGATAATACACAGAACGTCATATAATACTCAATACCAAAAAATCTTCAAAGGATTGTTTACTTATAATATATTCATGCATAGATTGAGCATGGCAGCATAAGTGTTTAAGGCACTTAGTGTTTAGAATCATAAAGGCTTAGCATTAAGATCTAGTTTAAGATCATAAACGTAAAATAAAATATTTCATTACCATATCGTGAAATCTTTATTATATTTCTGAACCTCGTTATAAGCCACGTTGTTTTATGAAACTTAAACTACTTAAGATGGAAATGGCTAGAATTAAAAGTACCTCGACGTTAATTTTAATCATCTATTGTTTAATATAAATTCCAGTGTAAAGTTCTATTACTTTCGTCATGAAATGTTCGCAGTTTCCTCTCTGCAAACAACGAACTGGATTACTGGTTAACTTGTATTTGAAAGTTATGAAATTCAATCACTACTTTCATGTGTCTTTGTATTGAGAATGTAATAATATATATACATTTCGTCGCAGGTTCTAAACCTAACTCACTCTAGAACTGTTATTTCTCCAGTTTCATCAAAAACAATCCAAACATTTACATATACGTTTGTCATGGTTTCCTTGAACTTTCAAAGTTTCACATCACCTATGGCCGAGATTTTGATAATAAAACCCCAATGTATTAATCATGGTTTATGTTAATGGAAGATCAAAACAAGTTTAAATTTAAGTACAGCAAAAGATAATGTATATATGAGAATCCAGATCAGATCGTTGTCGAAAAGCTTTCAACAAAATCGAACATTCTACATCAGATCATAAGCACAAGTAGCAAATGGAAGGTGTGTTTCTAGTGTTTTTCTTCAAATATTTCAAACTTGAAGCCCCCAGTGGCACAGCGGTATGTCCGCGGACTTACAACGCTAGAATCCGGGTTTCGATACCAGTGGTGGACAAAGCACAGATAGCCCACTGTGTAGCTTTGTGCTTAATTACAAACAAACAATCAAACTTGAGTTTAAGTATAATTCAGTCGTTCACACACAACATATGTTCTGCCGTAAGTAAGTCTAACAAACTAGTCGTAAATATGGTTTCGGTAGAGTGAGTAATGCTGAGCATGTTGTCTGTCATAAACGATAGTAATGCATCATGTTGCACATGATAATTGGATAGTAACGTGCACTAAAATCGTACTTTGTCACAGCACGTATAGATAGAACACCATGATTAGAATCGCAAATTACTCTGTGAAGTATTGAGTTGATAGTTAAAGGTCTTTTAGCAAACTTCAACCCTATGCTTCACATTGGATTTGATTTCGAAAAACTTGCGTGGTAATGGTGGTAAATGCATAACCCGAAATACAGCCACACTAGATTCACACATAAACAGCTCAGTAACACTAACACCCGCGATTGGTGCTGGTCTCAGTAGCAGTTCTAGAAAGAACTGGTTTTTATAGATGTCGTATGACACAGCATCAGTGGTTAATATTTCCAATGTCACTCAGGAACAAAGACCGTGGTAATGTAACAGCTGTTTTATATTACAAAGATTTCCATCGTCATCACAACAGACTTTTACCTCTTCGAATTACGCTGCAATAAAGCTCTTAATACTTGTAGGGTAGATTAGCTTAAAAACATATATGTGAACCATCCCTGTTTTATAGATCAGTGGCTTGTTGCCATTACATCACCATACAACTAATAGTAATAATAATAGTATTATAATATCATATCACGGACTTATAAAAGATGCTTCGTCGATATAAGGAGTTGTGCGCCATAATAATTGAATTTCTGTCTTATTTCTTGGCTTTAATATTTATCATGAGCCTTAAGCGTCGCATTTTTTTATTTTGATCAAGTTCAATAACTCATCGATCTACTGAGGACTCTGTCACAATTGATCATGTAAAGATAGATGGTCAATGTGAATGAAAATCTCTCGTTAACCTCTTTTCTTGCCTCAAAAATGAAATAAAAATATCGTAATATGAAAATAAACTGTAGTATTCTGAAGAAATGTACTTAGAAAAATAAAATAGAATTCTAATTTTAAAAAGTTCTAATTAACTAGATCGTTTACTTTAGATTCATTTCAGTGTTTGGAAAAAAAAACATCTTTATTATGTTACGTATTAGAATTTCGAATATTCTGAAAATGAGTTACCTTGTAACTTAGATTTAGTAGTTAAATTGGATTTAGCAGTTAAGTGCAAGCCGATATATAGTCAGTTTATGATATTTGCCAACAAAATTGATACACACAGTTTTCTTTTTTTTAACATAAATACGTTTTAATATACACACAACAAGACAATTTACAATAACAGTTATTACAAATAATTGCTACGAACAATGATTTATATACAAAATTTTACAAACCTACAAGCAATATAAAGTCTTCTTTCTAGTCTGGAATTTCTTCTATATCTTATCGAGGGTTCACGATGAGCGAGTTAATTACGAGTTGACGTAGGTACAATTCGCTTAAGGGGAAGCTAGCTAGATTTGTCCTTCGTTACTCACCATCCACACGCGCCGAGTTTTCCACGATGAATATATATAATGTTTTCGTAAAAATACTAATGCCCGATGAGAATCC